ATCTATCAACTCTCGTGGACCAGTCACAACCCTTGTGATCTATCAACTCTCCTGGACCAGTCACGACCCTTGTGATCTATCAACTTTTATGTACCAGTCACAACCGTTGTGATCTATCAACTCTCCTGGACCAGTCACGACCCTTGTGATCTATCAACTCTCGTGGACCAGTTACAACCCTTGTGATCTATCAACTCTCGTGGACCAGTTACAACCCTTGTGATCTATCAACTCTCCTGGACCAGTCACACCCCATGTGATCTATCAACTCTCGTGGACCAGTTACAACCCTTGTGATCTATCAACTCTCGTGGACCAGTCACACCCCATGTGATCTATCAACTCTCCTGGACCAGTTACAACCCTTGTGATCTATCAACTCTCGTGGACCAGTCACAACCCTTGTGATCTATCAACTCTCCTGGACCAGTCACGACCCTTGTGATCTATCAACTTTTATGTACCAGTCACAACCCTTGTGATCTATCAACTCTCCTGGACCAGTCACGACCCTTGTGATCTATCAACTCTCCTGGACCAGTCACGACCCTTGTGATCTATCAACTCAGAACGTGCTGGGCTTTTTTGTTTAGTATGTTCTGAGTCTTCATGCAAACTAAGTGTGCACATTTATGTTTACACATTTTGTATAACAACTATATCACTCATCAGTTTCTTATTCTTTGCCTCCATTTCTCCTCTTTATATTTGCCCGTTTGCCAGCCCGGGCTGTGATGTGGTTAAAGATCTGGATCCTCTGATACACGGAGCTATTACTTTCTATTGATAATTTACCCCATCGCCTGCTACAGGTGTCGTCTGCCTCTTCCCGACGGTGTTTCTAAGGCAGCGGAAAATAAGCAGTAGAAAGCAATAGCTCAGTACATCAGAGAGGTCCAGATTTCTAACCACAAGGGTGGCAAATACGGGGTTCTAAATCTCTAACCACAAGGGTGGCAAATACGGGGTTCTAAATCTCTAACCACAAGGGTGGCAAATACGGGGTTTTAAATCTCTAACCACAAGGGTGGCAAACAGGGAGTTCTAGATCTTTAACCACAAGAGTGGCAATCAGGGAGTTCTAAATCTCTAACCACAAGGGTGGCAATCAGGGAGTTCTAAATCTCAAACCACAAGGGTGGCAAACTGGGAGTTCTAGATCTCTAACCACAAGAGTGGCAATTAGGGAGTTCTAAATCTCTAACCACAAGGGTGGCAATCAGGGGGTTCTAGATCTCTAACCACAAGGGTGGCAATCTGGGGGTTCTAAATCTCTAACCACAAGGGTGGCAATCAGGGGGTTCTAGATCTCTAACCACAAGGGTGGCAATCTGGGGGTTCTAGATCTCTAACCACAAGGGTGGCAATCAGGGGGTTCTAGATCTCTAACCACAAGGGTGGCAATCAGGGAGTTCTAAATCTCTAACCACAAGGGTGGCAATCTGGGAGTTCTAGATCTCTAACCACAAGGGTGGCAATCTGGGAGTTCTAGATCTCTAACCACAAGGGTGGCAATCAGGGAGTTCTAGATCTCTAACCACAAGGGTGGCAAACTAGGAGTTCTAGATCTCTAACCACAAGGGTGGCAATCAGGGAGT